CCTTTTAACTTTAGTCTTCTGTTTTACCTAATGCTTCCTATGTCTAACTAAAACTCCTTCCTATGCCACAAACCTAAACTCTTTTTTTTTTAAAGATTTTATTTATTTATTTGACAGACAGAGATGACAAGTAGGCAGAGAGGCAGGCAGAGAGAGAGAGGAGGAAACAGGCTCCCTGCTGAGCAGAGAGCCTGATGTGGGGCTCGATCCCAGGACCCTGGGACCATGACTTGAGCCAAAGGCAAAGGCTTTAACCCACTGAGCCACCCAGATGCCCCCACAAACCTAAACTCTTAATTTATTCTCTCTCAAATGTTTTCTAGCTTCTCACCTGTGTTGTATAGAGACCATCATCTTCTCAGTTACCCAGACTCTTTGGCCTCTCCCCTCTTTCTCTGAGTTTCCTTGTGTCAGCTTTCTTCTCACATATGCCATTTATAGTTTAATATTGTATCTCTGCTACTGGCCCATCAATTGTTTGATAACTTCTACAAATACATAGTGCTCTAGCATCTTGCATGTAATCTTTAAAAATTCAATAAATGTTGATGAAAGGAATGAAAGAACGAATGAACTTACCATTAAAAGAAAAACAAGGCATTTGGAGATACACTACTACTAACAACAATAGCAACTAACAGCCTTTGAGTTCACAATATGAGAAGGGAACTGTTAAAGCACTTTAAAAGTATATCTCCAAAGACGACACACAAATGGCTAATAGGCACATGAAAAAATGTTCATCACCACCAGCCATGAGGGAGATTCAAAGCAAAACCACATTGAGATACCACCTTACACCAGTTAGAATGGCCAAAATTAACAAGATAGTAAACAACATGTGTTGGAGAGGATGTGGAGAAAGGGGAAACCTCTTACACTGTTGGTGGGAATGCAAGTTGGTGCAGCCACTTTGGAAAACAGTGTGGAGATTCCTTAAGAAATTAAATACAGAGCTACCCTATGACCCTGCAGTTGCACTACTGGGTATTTACCCCAAAGATACAGATGTAGTGAAAAGAAGGGCCATCTGTACCCCAATGTTCATTGTGGCAATGGCCACAGTTGCTAAACTGTGGAAAGAACCAAGATGCCCTTGAATGGACGAATGGATAAAGAAGACATGGTCCATATATACTATGGAGTATTATGGCTCCATCAGAAAGGATGAATACCCAACTTTTGTATCAACATGGGCGGGACTGAAAGAGATTATGCTGAGTGAAATAAGTCAAGCAGAGAGAGTCAATTATCATATGGTTTCGCTTATTTTTGGAGCATAAGGAATAACACGGAGGACATGAGGAGATGGAGAGGAGAAGTGAGTTGGGCAAACTGGAGGGGGAGACAAACCATGAGAGACTGCAAACTCTGAGAAACAGAGGGTTTTGGAGGGGAGGGGATGGAAGGTTGGGTGAGCCTGGTGCTGGGCATTATGGAGGGCACATATTGCGTGGAGCACTGGATGTGGAGCATAAACAATGAATTCTGGAGCACTGAAAAGAAATTTAAAAAAAGAAGTATATCCCATTTTACAGATAACAAAATAAAAGTAGAGAGGTTAAGTAACTTGCCTAAAATTTTACTGCATTTAAGAATCAAGACTTGAATCTAGCCCTTTAGTTACAGCTGTCTGTACAGCTCAAAAAGTTTATCAGATTAGGAAAAGATTAAAAGACTGGAAGAGACTTATGAAACTGGGAAGGAATGAGACTCAGAATAGATAAATGAGTTTTTAGAAAGGAGGGAGCAAAGTATTAAAGGAGGGACCATGAAGAATAAATGGGAGAGAACATTAAAAGGCCTCAAATTTCTAGTAAGACCTAGAACATCGGAGAACATGCCAACAAAGAAGAATGAAGAAGTGATACCTCTAAGTCAGGCTGAGCCATCATCTCCAGAGGTTTTTGCCTGCCTATTTCCTCTTCACTCACCTGAGCACAAGCCTTTTGCCAGCTCTCTCTTCACCATCCAGGGCTCTTTCCCTTGTTCCAACAATAATATCACATTTGGCTTAGAAAAGCAAAGTCCTGCATGTATGAAAAGAAACAATCTGGTCATGCAGAGGATATCCCATAACTTATAACCAATCCTTTGATCAACAGGGAAGAGGGAGTTTACAGTAAGCCAGAGAAAAATATATAAAGGACGTGTATTCAAATTACAGGAAAGCTGAAACTTCCAACACAGATTAATAACAGACCCATCTACTGGCAACTTTACAAATATTAAACCATTACTTTGGCACAGCAACTTTAGCCAAGCACTGAGGATGCCACCCAAAGATTCACAATAATGGTAGCAAAGAGGCCCTTATGAGCAGAAGCTCAATTTTACAAGGATAAGATATCCTTACCTAGGGACACCAAGATCCGGTAGTTCTCCAACATCACATTACTATACAGATGCCTCTGAGAAGAATTCAGACAGTCCCACTCCTCTTGGGAGAAATCTACAGCCACATCTCTGAAGGTTACCAACTCCTGAAAAGAAATAAATGAAATAACTTCATCTCTTACCATATTCACCTTACTTGTTTTGCCCTAGGTATACTGTGCTTTCCCTGATATTACATTCTCAAATCAAAATGGTCAAACACGTTCCCCCTCAGGCCTTTTGGACTTCTCAGATCATTCTGTATTAAAATAGCAAGCTTTTTACTCCTGTTCTGTATTTCCTTAACCCTCCTTTGTTGTTTGCCATGGCACTTAATTATTTTGTTATTGTGTGCTCCCAACCTCCACTAAAATGTGAAGTCCAGGGGCACCTGGGTGGCTCAGTGGTTAAGCCCCTGCCTTCGGCTCAGGTCATGATCTCAGGGTCCTGGGATCGAGCCCCGAATTGGGCTCTCTGCTCAGCAGGGAGCCTACTTCCCTCTCTCTCTCTGCCTGCCTCTCTGCCTGCTTGTGATCTCTGTCTGTCAAATAAATAAAGTCTTAAAAAAAATGTGAAGTCCATGAGGGCAGAATACATTTTTGCTTTGCTCACTGTTATAGCCCTAGTTATAGGACAGTATTTGGCACACATGAGGCATTCAAATATTTGCTGAATAAACTGAATTAATGAATGATCAGTTTGAAGAGTTCAAGAAACTATGAGAGGATCAAAAATGAGACCAGGAAGTGCTGGGGTACCTGGGTGGCACAGTGAATTAAGCATCCCACTATTGTTTTCTGATCAGGTCATGATCTCAGGGTCCTGAGATCCAGTTCCGTTGTCAGGCTCTGTGCTCAGCTTGTAGTCTCTCTCCCTCTGCCCCTCCCCTTGTGCATGCTCTCTTTCTCTCTCAAATAAATAAATAAATCTTTAAAAAAAAAAGAGGGGGGGGAAACCAGAAAGTTCTTGCTATATCTCTGAAAATTGTGCTAGACCAAGGACAGCAAATCATCGATTCTATTAAAATTCAAATACTTTAACCCAGAGTACTTAAAATTTTGTATAAAGAAATGGGGGTGCCTGGGTGGCTCAGTGGGTTAAGCCTCTGCCTTCGGCTCAGGTCACGATCTCAGGGTCCTGGGATCAAGCCCTGCATCGGGCTCTCTACTCAGCAGGGAGCCTGCTTCCCCCCTACCCCGCCTGCTGCTCTGTCTCCTTGTGATCTTTCTCTCTCTGTCAAATTAACAAATAAAATCTTAAAAATAAAAAGAGAGAAAGAAAGAAATAGGTGTTCTTTTCAGAACACTGCTTCTGTCTGTAGGGGCTAGGCAAAGTTCTTAAAATTTGGAGCTATGCTGTCATTCAGCTGGATTTTAGGTTTCTATAATATGACCACCTGCTGATGAAAGCTAACATGTGTTTGTGTGTGTATATAATTTTTAGAAGAGGTGAATCTGTCAAGGCAAGAAAACATTTATTGGGCATTTGATACAATTTTGTCATAGTTAAACTGTCTCTACAGAATAAAAATTATTAAAGTGTTTTACACAGGTGCCTGGGTGGCTCAATCAGTTAAGCATCTCCCTTCAGCTCAGGTCATGATGGGATCCTGGGATCCCAGGTGCTAGGATGGAGCCTTGCTCAGCAGGGAGCCTGCTTCGCCCTCTCTTCCCTGCTTGTGCTCTCTCTTGCTTTCTCTGTTGCTATCACTGTCTCTCTCTCAAATAAATAAATAAAATCTTTTAAAAATTCTTTATTTTTTTCAAAGTTATTTTTTAAAAAGTGTTTTACAACTCTCAGTAACTTTTTCTTATTTATAATGTGAAGTACTTTGTGAATTTCTTCATCTCTGCCCTACCAATAACATCCCTCATATACTGCAGAAATGTTCCTGTTAAAAAGAGTTTGGTTCATATGCCATATATGCTTCCAAAAATGTTTTCCTTACCATATATAAATATATATAATGTGTAACTATTTTTTAATATATGACATACACTTTTCAATGATTCTTTTAATGAAATTAATCAAAATAATGGCATCAACATAAGGAGCTTTAAATTATTACTTTAAAATACCTAATCTCTAACAAATGATCTCTGAAAAATATTTGACCCCTTTCTCTCTCTCTCTCTCTACACACACACACACACACACACACACACACCATGGAATATTACTCAGCCATTTAAAAAGAATGAAATCTTGCCATTCGCAACAACACGAATGGAACTAGAGAGTATAATGCTAAGTGAAATAAGTCAGAGAAAGATAAATACCATATGACTTCACTCATGTGGAATTTAAGAAACAAAGCAAATGAACAAAGTGGGGAAAAGAGAGATAAACCAAAAAAACAGATCCTAAACTATAGAGAACAAACAGATGGTTACCAGAGAGGAAGTGGGGAGAGGCAGATAGGTGAAATAGGTGAGGGGGATTAGGAAAGCACTTTGATGCTCACCAAGTAATATGTAGAACCATTAGATCACTATACGGTACACTTGAAAACTAATATAGCACTATAAGTTAACTACACTGGAATTTAAAAAATGAAAAATAAAATGTTGATCTCTAACCAAATACTTGGTTTCAAAATCCATTCATAATTATAATTAAGCCAGGATGAAGAAAGTCAACCATTCTCTTCACCTTTCTGCCTGCATAGAAACACGGCTCCTTGCTGAGAGGACTGACTACTTCCCTTTGAAGCCCTGTCCTGTGGTGAGTGTTTTTATTTCCCACATTCCTTGTACCACAGCACCTGAAGGTAAGGCAGGTGATGTCTCTGCTCCTTACATTTATTTTTAGACCATTACTCCTCCCCCGCCTCCCTGAAAGACACCTAGTTTTAAATCTCATGAAATCAGACTCTATCATCCCTCCCTGTTTTAGTTGTCTACTAGTTCCTGGTAGATACCAATACGCTGTCATTCCTTCAACACTTCAGCGCCTGGCTCACTGTCATCTCTACAACGCTACTCCTATCATACATAATCTTTGGTCATTTCAATATCTGTATAAATAATCCTCCCAACAACCAGGCCTCCCAGTTCTGTGTCCCTTCTCTCCTCCTGTAGTCTTGTCCTCCACACTTCAATAGTCATTCACTTCCAATGCCATGCCCCAGACTTTGTCATTACCAGTAAGTAGCCAACCCTCCCTAATCTCAACTCTCCCATTCTGACTTCTACCTCCTATATTCCAACTTTTGCCCTCTGGTACCCCAATTAGGATAATTCTTTGACCCCACTAGAACCTACAAATCACTGACTTACCATGTTTTCACTTCCTAGCACAACCATTTGTTATAATCACCCCATGGCTATACCCTGGACTTCCCTGCCCTTACCCACCTGGTTAAACCACTACCATCTCTCAGCATACTCTATTTCTGTACCTTGAACCACTGTACTTTCCTGGAGAAAATCACACCAATCATGTTAACTGGTCTCACTTTAAATTCATGACACGAACCTCAAGAGGCCCAAAATCCCTTTATTATACATTTCTCTAGTCCATACATGTCCCTACTCCCCTAAATGACCATTCCATACTTTCCCTCTCTCCTCAAATCTTCAATACCTTTTTCCTCATCCTTACCAATGATCTTGCTTTCTGTTTCACTCAAAAACCAAAATCCATTCTAGGAGAATTTCTACAAACTCCCACAACATCTACACATCTACCTGCACTGTCCCGACATACTCTAACTTGCTCCTATTACTAGTCTATATGAACAAACACTTTCTTAGCAAAGTCTGACCCCTCCACTTGTCCACTAGACCTCAGGTCCTCCTCCTACTCAAGCAGTGTTCCAGCAATCCCCTCTTCACTTTTCTTCATCTTCAAATTTCCCTTTCTACTGAATCTTAAACATCAGAATACAGCTATACACCCATCTTGAAAAAACCTTATTGACCACACTTCAGTTACTACCCTTTCTCTTATTCCCTTACAGCTAAAATATTTGAAAGAATGTTCTATACTTTCTATTGTTTCTATTCCTACCATGAAGAATCATATAATATGACTTGTGTAACAATCACTTTGACTGCTCTGTTGAGAATAGACTAGAAGAGAGGAAGGGTGGAAGTAGAAAGAAAAGGTAGAAGAGCAAAGCAATAACCTAGATGAGAGATGACAGTTTGGACCAGAATGGAAGCAGTGTGGTAGTAAAAGTGGTCAACTTCTGGATATATTTTGAACATAGAACAAACCAGAACTTCATGATAGAAGACTTTTCGCTTGTGTACCTGAGACAGGGACGTATGTAAGTCTCCTAATTGGTTTCCCTATTTCTATTTCTATCCTTGTCCCATTCAATTTATTCTCAACAGCAGCCAGAATGATTCTGTTAAGTGAGAATTAGATCATGTCACTTCTGTGCCCCCAAACTTCTAACGGCTTGTTTCACTAAATTTGAGACATTTGAGTTTGAGGTATCATTATACAACCAAATGAAGATGCTAAGTAGGTAGCTGGATATACAAGTCTGGATTTCAGGAGAGAGGTCTCAACTATATATAATTTGGTGATTGTTGGCATATAGATGGCATTTGAAGCCATGAGACAGAATGAGATTACTATTACCAATGAGATTACCAATGAGTGAGTGTAGGTGGAGAAGAGGACCAAGGACTAAGCCTTCTTACTCAACAGGTGCTCAATAAAAATTTGTTGAGGGAATGAATGTTTGAGCAGAGTCTATAATGAAGAAGTTAGTCTGTATCTTGGGGAACAGCATTCCAAGCAGAGGGAACAGCAAGTACAAGTATATGAGTTAAGAATGTATTCAGGTCTTGGGGTGCCTGGGTGGCTCAGTGGGTTAAAGCCTCTGCCTTTGGCTCAGGTCTTGATCCCAGGGTCCTGGAATCAAGCCCCACATTGGGCTCTCTGCTCAGTGGGGAGCCTGCTTCCCCCTCTCTCTCTGCCTGCCTCTCGGACTACTTGTGATCTCTATCTGTCAAATAAATAAATAAAATCTTTTAAAAAAAAAAGGATTTACATTTAAAGAATGTATTCAGGTCAAAAAAAATTTTTTTTAATGTACTCCGCTCACTACAAGGACACTAGTGTGCCTAGAACTGAGTGAATGAGTTACAAATGGAGTGATTACCTGAGCTCAAAAAGTGGACCAGATTATGTACGGCCTTGCAGGCTAAGGCAAGGACTTCAGCATTTATCCTGAATGAGGTGGGAATCAGCTGCAGGGGGGATATAATAAGTGACATGATTACTTACCCAGGAAAGTTTCAGCAAAAGCAAAGTTAATATCTGTTTGGTATAAAGAGCAGTAAAATGTTTCAGGAAATAGAAAACACCAACTCACCTGGTACATGGCTTTAAGAAGTCCAACAGCCATTCTTTCCTCCTTTTAGCTCTTCTCTTGGGAAATAGCAGTGTCCTCAGATGACTGAGATGGGGAAGAGAACATGAAAAACTAGGGTTTCCTTGCAGCATCCAGAATCACCAGCCTAGAATTTTTCAGCTTCTCTTTCCTTCTGTTGCACCCTTCCTTCCAACAGAGAGAAAGCATATGGGAGAGATCTAGAAATTTGTTTGCATGCAATTTAAGCCATGACTAAATCACTTCCTAATTTGTTATTTTAGCAATAGATTTTCTAGATTTTTACAAATAAAGACTCCAAGGAATGTAATCATTTACATAAAGACACACAACTAATGAATAACAGTACCCAGATCAAACAAAGGTCTTCCTGACTCCAGTCTTTCTTCTCTCCAATAAATAGACCAGTGATTCTGAAACTTGGTGGCACACTGGCATCACCTGGCTAGCTTCAAAAGATATTGGTGGCACACAGTCTCATTCAGTACCCCCACCTACTCATTCTTAAAAACTACAGCGCCATCCACGGTCTTACACAAGGAACAATCAGTCGCCATGGGTATGGGCAGTCTCACCCCGTCACGCTCATCCGTAGCTCCAAGTCTCAAACACTAGGGGATCACAACCTACGTTTACACTCACACAACTCCAGTTACAAAGAGGCCGTGGGTACTGGAACAACGGGGGACACAATACCCTCCCACCCCCACTCACAGTCTCACACTCTGTAGCACCAACCATCGACTCGCTTGCACCCACAGTCACAGATAAACGACGTGCACAGTCACATCAGATGACAGCCTCACACCGTATGACAACCAACCACCATCTCGCACCTAGAGTCACACCGAGGGCCTGGGAACCGACGTCCGGGTGACCCACAGCCCACTCCTCAGCCCATTCCCTACCTGCAGAAGTCAACTGCGGAAAGATCCCGTCCCTGCTCCGAAGGCTCGGGCAATCTCTATTCCGGCCCACCTCCTGCCTTAAGAGTCTGATGGGAACCCACCCCCGCGGGCCGGGAAAGAAGCGACTGGGCCTCCGGAGGACACAAAGGGACCGCCGGCCCTGTGCTCGCACGGGCCACTGGGAAATGTAGTCCAGACCAAAAAAAAAAAAAAAAAAAAGCGGCGCTGCAGAGTCCGACTGCACTGGCGCGGCGCCGTTGGGGGCTTAGAAACGCAGCCCTTCTGCCCGGGTCCTCCCCACGCCGGGCTGTTCCTGGCCCTGCAGAGGGAACCTAAATCTCACCTCGGATCCTGGGTCCGCCAAAGGAACCGGGTCGAGCGTCAACTAGACGGACTGGGACTGAAGTGCGCAGGCACAAGTGCTTGGTCCACCTCCCTTTGCAATGGGGCGGAGAACTTAGAGGCGCCGAGTAGCCGAAGGGGGTGCGGTTCGTGTGTGCGGTCCGCACAAACGGGGTGAGGGACGTGCTCCTACAATTGAGCTGCGGTACCCGAAAAAACTGTGTGGGACAGGGAGAGCAGAGAGTAGAGTGCGCAGGTGCACTATAATTCCACGCAGCTCCGCCTTCCATAGGGCGTTTTTGGTTCGGAATGAGTTAGCTTGAAGATCCGAAGGGAGAGTGTCACCCTTTGTGTACGGTTCTTGTATTTGTGATTTGGTGATTATGGGTGTGAATGTGTCCCCCCCCCCCTTACTAAAATGGCTCTTCTGCTGGGTATCTTCAAAGTTCCCTTACTCTGTCCTTTCAGATACTAATGTCACATCTCCAAAAAGGCCTTCCCTGATCACAGCTCTCTGACAGCCTTAATCTGATCTATACTCCCTTAGAACAATAGCGTTTGTATTTTAAATTTTTATTTATTTTCTCCCCACAAGTTCTGTCACAGGACTGTAATTTTGTGAGTTGCTGCATGACCCTTTGATTCTGTCATTGTGTGTGTTTCTGTGTAAAACTAGGTGTTAGGGTGGGTATGCTGGTTTTCTGTGACCATGTGTAAGGTTGTATTATTGTGTGACATTTGAGGTGTTACCTGAGAGAATGTGATATACAGAAAGGGACTGACTGGTGGAGAGTGGGGTAAGAATGTAATAGGATAGTATGTGTGATAGGTCCTGAGCACTAGTCTAATGGATGTGGATAGTGATTGAATTTTTTCTCTTAAGTATCTAATTAGAAAGCACCAACTGTGTGGCAGATGCTCTTCAAGGTGCTGGGATAGACATAGACAAAATAAACTTTAAAAAATCGCTAATAGAATACTAATGAGCAGAAGGACTACCTCAAGAGGCTAAAATACATGTATGATTGAATAACAAATAGAAATCTGAATCTACACAAGGGAATGAAGAGCATTAGAGATAATAACTGTAGGGTAAATATGTAAGACATTTTTATTAATTAAAT